GTAGATGGCGCTGCGCTCAATAATTATTTTTCGATGGGAGGATCTTTCTTATGTAGCGCATCTTGTAAAAAATGCATTTTTAAGTTAATTTTGTTCTATGAACTAATTCGATAAATCTAGCCATTTTTGATATACAGAGTGGGTCATTCAAAACAGTTTCATCCTGTTTTTCGGAATTATTCATTGTATTTTTGCAAAATGCTAAAACAGGTCGATTTTTATTCTAAATTAAAGACATTTATACAATATAGACATATGTCATGTGTCAACCCCCCCCCTTATACTTCTCCACACCTTAATTTTAAATAGGTAATGTACCATGTATGGCTCATCATTGAAAAGGTAATTTAATGGGGGATTCAGAAATATTTCTGTAAATTACGTTACTTAAATTTTATCGCCCTCTAGCGGGATAAAAAACTACTACGTATTGTAGAGTGTGATACTACAATGTGTAGTACATCATTAAAAAGGTAATTTTATGGGGAATTTAGAAATATGACTGTCCATTGTGATACTTTTAATTGTACTGCCCTCTAGCGGGAAAAAAAACTACGTATTTTAAAGTGTGACACCTTTTTTGAAAGCAAATTTAATTACTAATTCAATGTACCACATAACATTAATTAATAACAATATTATTATAAATATCCACATTGCACTTGCAATAGTTTAAAAATTAGTCATGCATTATTTTAAACATTATTGCTAACTTTATTTTGTTGCAAGTGCAATATGGAAATATTTATATTAATGTTATGTGGCGCATTGAATTAGTATTTAAATTAGCATTCAAATGAAGTGTCACACTTTAAAATACGTTACAGATTTTTTATCCCGATAGAGGGCGCTAAAATTAAAAGTTTCGCAATAAACTGTCATATTTATGACTTCCCCATAAAATTACCTTTTTAATGATGTGCCGTACATGGTACATTCCTTATTTAAAATTAAGGGGTTGGAGAAGTGGAAGGGAGGAGGTTGACACATGACAGATGTCTGTATTGCAAAAATGTGTTTAATTTAGAATAAAAATCGACCTGTTTTAGCATTTTGCAAAAATACAATGAATAATTCCGAAAAACAGGATGAAACTGTTTTGAATGACCCACTCTGTATATCAAAAATGGCTAGATTTATCGAATTAGTTCATAGAACAAAATTAACTTAAAAATGCATTTTTTACAAGATGCGCTACATAAGAAAGATCCTCCCATCGAAAAATAATTATTGAGCGCAGCGCCATCTACATATTGACCTATTTAAAATCAATTTATATCTAAAACTGAAGATCTCTTAGCGCTCTATAAACTGGCTTTTACAGAATTAAAATATCTCTATTACTTACCAAAATATCCGGCCTGGGAGTTTTTATTGGTACACCCTGTATAACAGGGAAGAACTAAATTAATATTTAAAATGCCGGGCTGCGCGGTGGAGATATTTCCGAATGCCACAAAATATGGGTAAATTCTTATCGAAGAAAGGACAAACTTAATTGAAGTTGCTCTATCCACTTTGAGGAAAGTAGTTGTGAGATTCCTCTTAAACATAGACACAAGAAAAGGAAACTGAATTCCACCAGGTGCACGGGCCTCATTAAGCAAAGAAAATAAATCGGTATTTAAAAACTTTAGCAGATAAAACAGTAGGGTCCTGTCCCAATACAACGGTCCTTTTGAAGTAATGCCATACATGAGCAGGATACGAACATATATTATATAAGAATAAGATAAATGAACAGAAAAATTGGTTGAGTATTTTGTACACTTGACAAAAAAAATTTTAAATTTACCAAATAAAAAGTAATGTTTTTGTGTACTTACTTTTTATAAATAAATCGTTTTTTTTTTTATTGGTACCCTATTTTACTTATTTAAAGTACGCCTCAGCGTGTTTAAAACGTACTTTAAAAAACGCGCGTTTTAAAGTTACCATGGCAACATCAACAACTAAGAAACGTGATGTCTAAATGCCAACTTTTTAAATCTGACAGGAGTGCCTTGTAATGTCAAATAAAATATTTCTGAGAAATTTTTCAAAAAATTTATTCAATCGCACAATTCACATCTTCTACAAGAGCCAAAGATGCCACAAATAGCAACCACCTTCAAAAATAAATACGTAATGTCCGGTGCATCTGTAAAAAACTTCCGCAAATCGTCTTCCTCGAATACATATGCCTTCTTGACTACCTCATTTTTGCTAATTGCCTTCATGAATGCATGCACTTTGACGAACGATTTTATATCGACCCCTTTGTTTATCCTCAACATACTTTGTAATTTTGAATGGATAGTCCACATAGTCGATACTTTATACTGTTCCGACATTTTCTGGAGATAAGCGAGAACAACTCGTTCATCTATATGTGTAACCATTTGCTCTTCCATCCACGTGTTGAATTTATCGTATTCTTTTTTATAAACCGCTTCGGATTTTTGTGGTATTAAGCGCGATTCTGCTTTATTATTTAAATACTCAATATTTGAACTCATTTTAAACAATAACAACTGTTGCGACAATTTATCTTACGTGACAGAAAATAAATTTTTGTTTATCTCATTTTTATGACAACGAGGTATACTGATGTTACATCACAAATTCAACCATTTTCAGTTATTAGTTCTTATTTCCATTTTTTTGTAGAAATAATACCAATATTTAGGATTTCAAAGTATACCAATAAAAAAAAATAGCGTAAAGTATTCGTGGATAACTGGTCTTTAAAACACTTGCTCTATTTCGCGCGTGTTTTAAAGACCGTTATATCCACTTATACTATTCTACACACTTATTTTTATTTCACACAATAAGAAAAGAGATTGCAAGAGAACTACCACGCCCAGAAAGTACAAATTTGAGTTAAACTTGTATTTTTAGTCTATATCTATTACTTATCTTATGGCCAGGTCATGGATTTTGTCACAAAATACCAGTATTTTATGAGAAAAATTAATATTTTTATTAGTATTATTTACCTTAACCTTCATATTATTTGTAAACGAATATATTACAAAATAACCAATAAAGCTTAAGTAAATGCATAAAATCTAAAGTCAACTGCATGCGCAGGAACATACCGTTAGTCTGTGTAGCGTGGTTAAATAGAAAAGCAATTGCTCATTCGAGCTTAATCGTGGTGCTCTATGAGCTTTATTTGAAGCTGACAAGACATTTTAAAAATATAAATTTTTTCCTTAAAATTTTATATTTTGAGGGCCTAAAAAATAGTGTGGTTTTATATGGAAAAATTCGTAAAAACCTCGCTTCGTTCGAAGCTAGCAGAGCACCTTGATTTTTGTAATTTTTTGGTTGTCACGGGTAATGAAAGGTGAAATGGTTATTAAAGTGACCCCATTTCTATTGAAAACAAAGGATTTGGTGGATGTTTTTTGCCACGATTAAGCCGGTGATGGTTACAGTTAAACCAGTAACGGATAAACCAATGACGGGTTTAACTGGTCACGGTTACGATTAAACCGCCGAATACGGTCTAACCGGTCCGTTTCTACTGGCTCGGTTTGATCGGACCGGATAACCGGTTAATCGGACCGGTTAACCAAATATTCTGATAGGTTGACCGGATAATAGGATCGGTTAACCGGATATCCAGACCGGTTAACCGGATATCCGGACCGGTTCACCGGATATCCAAACCGGTTATAATAATAGTACAAATCCGGTTATAACTGAAACCGGTCAAAATCAGTCAAACCGGTTAACCGTTTATTACGTCAGGAATTGACAGCCTTACTAAAAAGGTGTCTTTTTTTCCACTGCATAGATCTAATTCCATATAAAACTGAATGAAATGTGTATATATATATATAGGTCCGAAGGAGATACATGGAGATCCATGGAAATCCAAATGTTCTCCACGGAGATCCATGGAAATCCAAATGATTTCCATGGAGATCTAAGGATATCCCTGAAGATCCAAGGATATTCATGGATATCCATGGAGTTACATGAAGATATCCATAAATGGAATTTTTCTGTCCTAAAAAAATAGAGATAGAGTGTAGTAAAATTTAAAGGAATTTTAAATGGATTCCATAGATGGCAGGTAATTTGTTAAGTAGTATATTTTCATCAGGTGATTTTAATATAGTTAGGCTTTACGTGTCAACTATAACTAGAGCCACTACTGTGATATTGTTTGGTCTAAGACTTTTTATTGATAAAATTTAAAAAATATATGTTTTACGATTTAGAAATAAAATATTAGTGTGTCTATGGCGTATCTATCCAGATGGTCGGCGCCAGACTCTTTTCCGACAACGACCCAGGTACAAAAATGTATAGTAACATTCATTCATAAACACTCATTTATTTCACTCGCTTGAAAAAAGTATGATGAAGACAATGACAATAAGTTAGTTTTCGCGGCATAAACCAACATGAACGTTTATGATAGATTATGCTATTTAGACGTCTATAGACGTTGATGTTGATTTATGCCGCGAAAAAACCTTAATTTTTCTCGAGAGCGATGTTTTGCTTTATGTAAACAAAAGATTCGATAAGATATCAGACTAAAGTTTTTATTTGTGGATACCTAGTTTATATATTTTTTTATTACGATGTGTCTTTTTAATCATTTAGGGAGCTTTTCTAATAGATCAAAAACAGTATTCATCTTGAAATACAATTATATAGAGGCCACATTGGCAACATCGTGCACACTCCCGTCACAGCTTACTGTGCTCCCGTTTAAATGCCAAAATCAGGAGCTTTGAGATAATATAATTTTTGAGGTATCTTAAAAAAATTAACATAATGGTGCCAACTTCAAAGAGCTCTGGCTCCCTTAAAAAGGATTTTCGGATTAAGGTAAGTTGGGTTAAATCGACATAAAATCTAATAATATCTGGGTTTTCCGATTGGTAGGAGAGTTCTGGGACACCCTGTATAATAATTACTTTAAAATATTACATTATTATACAATTACAATTTATTTATGAGTGTAACAATCTACGGAAGTAAGTTTTTAATACCTTTTGTATCTTACAGACGACGGTGGCGGGCTGGACGTCGTGCGACATGTGTCTAGTGTCCAATAAACAAACGGCACAAACGCACGTCTTGCAAATAGAACAAAACATATTAAGAGTTTCCTCGGCGTGTTCCGGACAAGTTCCCGTTTTGCCTTTTGCGGAATTGTTAATGCCCCTCTTGGGATCGGTCAGAATGTGTTTGGCCAACGGTCCGCGTAGCGGATGGCAAGATTCGCGACAAGAAGTGCAATATCGGACTTCGCATTGTTCGCACATCACGGTCGCCTCGTTGGCCGGCTCGATCTCGCACATTTGGCATTTTAGGGTCAAGTTCTTCAGCTCGCTGTACTTCTCGACAATGTTGTGCATGATCCGGTACTTGGGCAAGTTGTGGACACCATTCTCGTCAAAATACACGAGTTTATGGCACACGGGGCACGATACGCTGAGGGTGCTCGATACATTGCTGGATTCTATGTAACTATTCGGTCTAGAGGCACAAATCACGCCGCTGTCGGTCTCGCTGAGTATCGATAGCTTATCGCTTTCCTGATAATCGCCCGAACTTCCCGACGTTACGCTTTCCGCATTTTCCGGAACCGAACTTAGGGTAGAAGTGTTATGACTGGAGGCAGGTTGTTGTAGATGGATAGCGCACAATAAACACACCGAATGATGACACGGCAATAATACTGGATTCGAATAAAATTGTTTACAGACCGGACAACACAATTCTTCGTCCATCGTTGAATTTTAATTCACACTAACTTATTACGCTACGAATGGCTAACAGCACGACACACAGCTACTGCGACTGAGTCTGGCATAGCATTGACTGTTGACTGGAGTTAGTAGTGAAAATGCTCGCCCTCGCTGCGAGTTGTTTAGAAAGGAGAAGGAGCGATATAGAATCGATTGTGCGCAGTTGTATAATCGATTGCGTTAAATCGATATCGGAATAGATTTTAATGGGTGAATATACAGTAAACTACAAAAATTGTATTTTGAAATGCTAATACCCGATTTCAAGAAAGCTTGTTACCCAAATATCCCAATAGATGTGTGTAATTTAAAGTTTATATTATTCACGCAGGTCATATTATATTATCAAGTTCTGTCAAAGTTTTTCGGGTCCATAAAGTTTACATAAACTATCCGAAATTTCAGAAGAATGGGATTTGCTCATTAATAATTGTTGATCCTTAGTCTGCAATATAATAATAATAATAATAATAATAATAATAATAATAATAATAATAATAATAATAATAATAATAATAATAATAATAATAATAATAATAATAATAATAATAATAATAATAATAATAATAATAATAATAATAATAATAATAATAATAATAATAATAATAATAATAATAATAATAATAATAATAATAATAATAATAATAATAATAATAATAATAATAATAATAATAATAATAATAATAATAATAATAATAATAATAATAATAATAATAATAATAATAATAATAATAATAATAATAATAATAATAATAATAATAATAATAATAATAATAATAATAATAATAATAATAATAATAATAATAATAATAATAATAATAATAATAATAATAATAATAATAATAATAATAATAATAATAATAATAATAATAATAATAATAATAATAATAATAATAATAATAATAATAATAATAATAATAATAATAATAATAATAATAATAATAATAATAATAATAATAATAATAATAATAATAATAATAATAATAATAATAATAATAATAATAATAATAATAATAATAATAATAATAATAATAATAATAATAATAATAATAATAATAATAATAATAATAATAATAATAATAATAATAATAATAATAATAATAATAATAATAATAATAATAATAATAATAATAATAATAATAATAATAATAATAATAATAATAATAATAATAATAATAATAATAATAATAATAATAATAATAATAATAATAATAAAAACTTTATTTATAAATGGAGTACAATAAAATAAAGAAAAAAGAAAATACGTGTATACAAAATATAAATAAAGTTAGAGTATCGATAAGTACTGATGTACTTGTTTCGCTAATAGAAAATATGATTAAAATTTTAATTTAAAAATATGAGTAATTAATAAAAATAAAAAATAATAATAGCTAAAATTAGATTTACAATTTAAAATTTACACTAATAACTAGAATAAGTATACAATAAAGAATAAAATATAATATATATTTAGTAAAAGAGTGCTAAAAATGGATTCAATTAAAATTATTTATACAGTGCTTCTCAAAAGTCCCCTCCCTCCATCTTTTCTTTTGAACGGTGATACTTAGACTGATGAAATTTGGAGGGTGAAAATGAACTATTGTAAGCTTCTCTACTAATAGCATCAAATAACATAATAAACATTAGTGACGTCACCAGGCAACTGAAACCAATAATATTAAATGGGATCTTATATCAAGTGACACCTTGTTTGAAAGGATTTTAGAATACCTATTCAGTCATTCTTTTTTTTTGGATTTAGGATGTTTTTGATAGTTAAAATAAGGTCCCATTTAATATTATTAGTTTCAGTTGCCTGATTATGTCACCGATGCATATTACGTCACCTGTCATCGCTAGTAGAGAAGCTTACAATAGTTAATTTTCAACCTCCAAATTTCATCAGTCTAAGTATCACCGTTCAAAAGAAATAAGGGGGGAGGGGACTTTTGAGAAGCACTGTATCGTTCATCTACAATGTCATTAAGTTTTAGGTTACTAACATTGTCTAAATAGCAATTTGTTTATCCTTCATAAAAATTAAATTTATGGCAGTATAATTAAGAATTAAAGAATTGATACAAATAGGTAATATAACAAAAAAAAAACAACTACAATATGAAAAAATAACCAGCGCAAAGCTACACAACACCGTTCGCGCCGCGAATTTTCTTTAAGTCCCCAAAAAAAATAAAATAATTAGATGAGTGAGATCTGTTCTTTTTTGGAGTGGTTCCCCGCGATGAGATAACCACGACTTTTAAGCCTCAAAATGAAGCGACACCAGGAGCGCGTCAAAGGCACAAAGTGCTCTTTGGTGCTCCCTGGCATCAACTGCCTTTTTTTTAATCCAACCGCGTTGAACAATGTAGTTTAACTGTTGTATCAGCAACACGTGTAGTTTCATAGCCCACATCTGTTATTTCCCATAGCATGCGAAACTAAGTACATTGCTCAGTTTCGCAAAAAATATTTAATAGGTAAGAACTCTTTCAAATGTTTAAAAGTGTAAATAATTTGCTGCAATTTTTTTACTACCTGATTAATATGTCTATCCCACCTTAAGTGACATTCCAAATATTTGATTTCTACAACCGATTTAATGCCAAAATTTTTTCCATTAATTTCAATGTTAATTTGTTGAAAGTCTGTTACTCCGCTGGCGTTACAACTAAAAGGTAAAAATTTGGTCTTATTTAAATTCATTGTTAAGAGCTTATGGTCAAACCATTTTTTATTGCCTTAATGTCGGTGTCTACATTTGCATTGAGTTGTTGCCAATTGTCTGCTTCATAAAAAAGCTCAGTATCATCTGCGTATCCTATGATTTCACTAGTTGTATCTATGCGAAACAGCTCATTCACATACATATTGAACAAAATAGGCCCTAGGACTGTGCCCTGTTGTACACCATATTCAATAGATGCCTTTTCAATTATGTTATCCCCTACTCTTACCACTTGGTTTCTTGTACATAGATAACTTTTAAAAAGAGTTAGAACGTTTCCCCTGATCCCCACATCTTCTAGGGTTTGGATTAACAACGGACGACTTACCGTGTCAAAAGCCTTACTTAAATCTATAAATAGGCATAAGCAAGGTTTCCCACTTTCCAGCGATTTGTATATATTTTTTGTTAAATTTAAAATAGCGTCCACAGTTGAGGTCTTTTCTTTGAAGCCATATTGTTTATTTGACAAAAGATTGTATCTATTTATGAATGATGATAGCCTATTTTTTATCAAAAACTTTAGCCAGATGACTAATCAATGGTATTGGTATATAATTTCCAACAGATGTTCTATCTCCATTTTTATAAACAGGGACTACAATAGAGCTTTTGAGTGCATCAGGCCATATTCCCTTTTCAATACTTTTATTTATTATGTAAGCTAATGGATCTGAGATATGATAGGATAATTTTTTTAAAAGCTCTGATTTAATTTCGTCAATTCCTGGAGATTTATTATTTTTTAAAGCATTAATGAGATTAAATATTTCCTTAGAATTTGTAGGTGTTAGTAGCATTGAGTTAGATAAAGTGTTTGATTTGCATTTTTACTTAGTGTCTTTTTCAATTTTTCCCGAAGTTGACAAATTGTTTATTAAATTCGTTAGCTATCTGCATGTTAATAGTTAATAAAACTCCAGTACCGTTAATAATTTTTTCAATAGTACATTTTTTAGTTTTCCTTCCGCAAAGTCCTTGTATCATGTTCCACAAATATTTTGAATTATTTTTATTTTTTTCAAGTTGTTTTTTATAATTATTTTTGTTTATTTCTCTTTAATTCATTTGTAAGTTTATTTTTGAATAACGTATATTCGTCTTTTAATAAAATATTTTCAGGATGTAGGATCGTTTTTTTATACATTTTATTATTTTTATTAATTAACTTTAATGGGCTATTTGTGAACCATGGTGCAAAGCTAGTGTTTTTTTGTATACATAGTTTTTTGTAGTGCAATGTTTTATCATTGTTTTAATTTCCGTAATAAAAAGATTTGCTGCAATATTTGGGTCCTCTAGTGTGAAAATAGATTCCCACGAATTGTTCTTAAATAATTCTATAAGTTTAGGGTAATCTATGAATTCTTTATATTTTGTGATAATTGATTTTTTCTTTTATCCTCAAAAACGACTTGCAGAATAATTGAATCATGTTTGATCATGTTTGATTTAAATATTATTGGAATGGTCATATCAATCGACTCATTTTTTTTGCTTTAAGGTGCACCCAATGAAACAATAGAACACATTACGGCTGGATGTTCCGCACTATCAAATAGTGCCTGAAGACAAAATCAGGTAGTTGAAATAATACATTCCCAGTTAGCCCAGAAACTAAACCTAACTAAAAATCATCCACCTTATTATCGCTATAATCCAGTGCCGATTTTAGAATCAAGGGAGAACATTTTATATTGGGATCGACCGATACTTACAGATCGAACAGTGGATTACAACAGACCTGATATCGTCATTATAGGTAAAGAAACCAAAGAAGCATTTATAATCGACGTTGCTTGCCCACTTAGCCATAACGTTGTGAAAACCTTTCCATAGAAATAAAACATGTTTGGGGCATGAAGAGAGTACAAATAATCCCAATAGTAGTTTCGGCCACAGGAATTGTCTCCATACACCTTCCAAAACAACTAGAAAAATTAACTTTACGTCCTATTATAACTATTATACCACATTTACAAATAGCAGCCATCCTACTGATCTGTCATATAGTAAGGAAATTGATGGGCGTGTTGGAATAAAATGAATTTCTTCTTCAACAATGTCTATTGCAACCAGCAAATAAATTCTGAATGTCTAAAATGGTGAGTGAAAAATTATCGATAGTCAAAAAGTAGAACAAACATGATCGAAATCGCATAAGATCACATCAGATATGATCGAAAGTAATATTGATCGAAATGATATGTGATCGGAATGGTATAAGATCGAAAGCATTAAATTAAGAAATTAGTAAATTAATTGTTAACTCACTAAAAATAGCAACTGACCAAATAGTGTTTATTAAATAAAATTGCATTGCATATCGAAATAGCGGTCCAGCAAA